ATGCTCGACGTGATTTACGGTACAATGGTCTTCTGTTCCAGGGCATCAGTCTCCAATTCAAAGGGTAAATACTGACTCACTTATCGTTACATCGCGTTTCGCAATCGTTTGCATCGTGCAAAGGTATCTCAGGCTTTGTAGACCACTGGTCTAAGACCAGCCCCACTGGTGAGCCGACTCGTCACAACCAAAGTGATCAGAGCGCTCCGGGCTTCAATGAAGCCTTCATTGTGCAGACAAGATGGTACAATGAAAGAACTGTCCTGATCGGAGCAGACACTCATTTCACTTTAGTTTAGCAGTCACTGCCATAGTTCAAACCATTTGCAACGTTTTTTTTTTTTCCAATACTCTAGGTGTACTGAAATGAAGGGCCAGATGCCAGACTATCGAGGATCGAGAATGGTACATGCCATCCTCTTTGTAGTGATACCGTCAAGAATTCACATTTTATTACTAACGGAGCAATCACTATCGAGAGCTGTACTAGGGTACCATCGTCTTTATGGCTACACTGCTGACCTGCAAGGTCGATCACAGTGGATGACCACGCTCTTGCTGACGGGATAGGTGTGCTGTCTCGAGCAATGAGCGGGCTTCGGACTCTGTAGTTGGGTCGCAAGCAGGGCCGGAAGAGGCAAATGTCGTTATTCAGACGATTCTCACTAAAAAGGTCTTTTGTATAGTTAATGACTTCTTCCTTGTAATAATTGTGACTTTGTATCACTCATTACAATCTGGAGGTTCGAGATTGTTTTGATTTGGGATCGTATGCGGACGGTCAGCGGGAGACTTCTCCAATCTCCTTAACTGAAGGGTATCAACATGGGATATCACCCCCAAAGAGGATTGCCTGTAGAAGAACTCCCAACAGAAATTGTCTCTGTCCGTTGTGGCATGAAGCAGATACAAGGGTGGGTCTCAGTAGTCAATTAGCTATCGGCATCTAAGGAGGTGCTACCCGAACGGATCCACGATTCGTAGTAGCAATGCCCCTCGCGAAGGCCCAGTTACAGAATATTACATGTACCATGGCGGTTGTAAATTGAAAGTTATCGTCAATCGGTATTTGGGAACGAAACAAGTTCTTGTTCATTCAAACCAAGCACTTGCAGAACTAACGTTAAATACAATCAATGAGGTCTAATCGTTACCATTAAATAACTTTTCTAAACTTTTGAGGCGCTAGGTATACTTGAAAAGTCATAGTTAACTAGGATACCGATCAAATACAATCATCAGTTTTTTTAAGGGTATTCCTAATGGCACTCACGCTCCATTTTCGTAGCTGCCACTGAAAAGATAGTATCTCTTCAGTGGAAGCAATATTTACTCATCGATAAAAGAGTTTATCGATGTGTAATTACATGTATAGGTCATTTGATAATAAGGACAATCCGGCAGTTTAAATGGGTCATTTGATATCACAATATCCAACTGTCATCTTCGGATTGCATCCGGCGACTTCAGAATGCAGCAGGAACGACGCAACCAGCAACAATCCACGCTGAAGAGGTCACTAATCTTGCATGGCCAAATCTAGATAGACTCACTTAGCTAAAACATGCGCAATACAAGCCGGCTACACACTAAA